ATATATGTATCATCTAACTCCGACACTCTCTAAATCCATTCTTTTTTCTGACTTTCTAATGACTGTGGGTTTCTGCATTGTAAAATCAATCCTAGCCTGGCTTTTAGTGTAACTATTGTCTTGCAAAACAAACCCGCCTTCTCAGCTAAAATATTCACTGTGTGCTCCATTCCATATCTCATATCTGCTCTCTCCAATCTTCATCACCTATTCCTTCTGTTCATAAAAGTAATTTACTTGCTATCACTGTAACAAAATGGAATCCTCCAACCACACAATGTTGGTCAAATGCAGACCTTCTCTTTGACTTGAGCTTCGTTCTTCCACGGGAAGCTCTGCCTCTGCAGTTAACTCTCTCTCTCTCTCTGTTATTTTCTAACCATTCTTCCCATGGTTGTCAGCTGTGGCTATCTAGATTCTTCACCATTCTTCTCGTCTCTTGCTCTGCTTACCATTAGCCACTTGATAGCTCAACTATCTCCCAACTTTGTGCTTATTACGTTAATGAATTCGAAGCCATTTGCTTGAGCCATTGTCTTGCTCTAAAATTGTTCTAGTCTGTATTATTCCAATAACTCTAAATAACGCAATGGTATTTCCCCCCCAATGAGCTTACCATCATCTTCTTTTCCAAGCATGGTCTTGCTTCTAGATTTCATAAATACAATATCAGCATCTCCTCCCACTTTCTTATATTTGAAACTCTGTCACTCTCAACAATTGTGAGGATGGTGCAAGACTGGGCAGTATTTCATTATGTTGTACATAGGGTCACTATGAGTCAGAGCCAACTAAATACCACCCAACAACAAAACCACCACTTATGCTAAACAGGTTGCTATGATTTGAAACTGATTTGATGACACTTAACAATCACCACCATACTTTATAAAATGCCTCATCTATTATTTCTGCTTCTATATTCCTTATGGCATCTGTTTCCAAATCTCCCTTCTGACGACTGGTGACTCAGCTCCTGCTCTCTGACACCCCCCCAGATCAATGTTTTGTCCTCTTAAGGGGTCTTCTGTCTTCTATTCTTTCCTGTGCTAAATTACCACTGGTACACATTCATCGCAGTCCTTCTTCCTAAAGGTTTAGATTAAAACTACTTTATCAGATGCATTCCAAGTAAAGTCTAAGATCCTTACACTATCCAAATCTCTACCTTTCCAACCTTATTTTCAAGCAATCTTTTAGCTATCAAATCATAGCCACACTAATTCCTGTTTGGTAGTGTCTTGTGCTTCATTCTTATTGCCTGTGATCACACTATTTTATTTACTTCCAAAGCCCCTTTCTCATACATGGGTTTTCAATTCCTATCTATCGTTCAAGGCCTAGCTTAGGTGTCACCTCCTGCATGAAGCCATCCATGATTGAATTGTGATTTACTGAATAATAACTCTGGTGGGCAGTTCTGCTGTAACCTACAGGGTCACTATGAATCAGAATTGACTCAATGGCAGTGGCAGTGGAAAAGCACACACAGTTTTACATGCATCAATTATTTCATATCCCATTGACAACAATCCAAAATCTTGGTTGAAGAAACAGACTGACAGAGACTGTTTTCCAAGGTCTTACAGACAGTAAATGGTAGGTAGATCTGGAGTTCTGGCCAAAGCTTTCTGACTTTCACTAAATATTCTGTCTTGCCTTGCATATAATGGCCTCCGTAAAACCTCAAAGTTTATTTCTTCCTCTTGTATAAAGTTACTACTTTACATGATTTTACAGTTATTTTGTTTTTGCATGTCAAATTTGCTAGGAAGGTCTCTAGAATGTTCATGGTGACTTTATGTCTTGGGGATGCTGAGGGCTAAAGATTGGGCAGCTAACCACAAGGTCTGCAGTCCAAACTCACCAACTGCTCCATGGGAGAAAGATGAGGCTGTCTGCATCCATTGAGATTTATAGTCTTGGAAACCTGATCCAGAATTACTATGAGCAATGGGTTCATTTGTTTGTTTGCTGTTCTATAGGAAAGGAATGCGTAAGCATGGGAAATGGTTAATACTGCTTCACACATTCACTCTTTTCTCCCCTTGACTGCTAATTGAACATTTGAAAGTTGAGTCCGTCCACAGAACAAAAGTTTGGTGATCAACTATTGAAAAAAATCTGCCACTGCAAACCCTGTGGAACACAGTTCTAGTCTGGCACACACAGGGTCACTATGACTCTGAGTAAACTCAAGGACGCCTGGTTTAAATAGTAAGGGATTACTTAGTAAATATATGTGTCTGGATGAATTCATATTTGCTTCCTTATTTGACAACTTTCTACTCTTCATTTCATTCTATCTTATATTTTCTGACTAACTTCAAAGACTATCAGTAATTAGAGACTTTATAATTAGATGGTGATGTCTTCTTCAGGTATTACTTTCCATGATGGCTCAATATGACTTTCTTACTCCAATTATTTTAAATTGCACAATTACTCAAACACAATGTTTTCCACCATCTCTGGCCTTTGTGCTGGATGTTTCTCTTTGTGAATTGCCACCTGCCTCTTACCAACCACATCTATTCATGTTTCAAGGTTCAACAAAAACCTTACAAAGGTCTTTTATGGGTAAGGTAGTGGTCCCTCAATGAAAAAAACTGGAAAGAATATTATCTGGAATGTACATTTTTCCATGTCTATGTCAAATATCCACTGATTTCCTTGCCTGTGCAAAGGGCTATTTCCTATATCACAACATTTTAAGCATACAATCAAACACATAGGAGAGACTTTTGAATAATGTGAGCTAATATTATTCTCATATAAAATAATTTACAGCAGCTCATTTATTATGTTGTTGTTAAGTACTGTCGTGTCGATTCTGACCCATAGTGACCCTGATAGGGTTTCCGAGAAGCAGCTGGTGAGCTTGAACTGCCAACCTTGAAGTTCAAAGGGCTTTGCAGTCTGGCACATTAGAGATTAGTAAAAGGTGCCACAGCACCATAGAGATTAGTAAAAAGTGGTTTCTTTTTTCAAATAACATAAAATTTCACCTTTTTTTTCTTTTGTAGTCTAAGTACCAAGAACTATTGGAAGCACAAACAAATATGTGTTGGAGGAAAAAAGTATGGTCAGAATGCTCTTTAGAATTCAGGATAGTGAGACTTTGAGACTTCATCTTTCATACTTAGGACATGCTATCAGGAGGGACCAGTCCCTGGAGAAGGACATCATGCTTGGTAAAGTGGAGAGTCAGTGCAAAGGAGGAAGACCCCCAATGAGATGGAGTGACACGGTGACAGCAACAGTGGGCTGTGACCTAACAATTGTAAGGATGGTGCAGGACTGGGCAGTGTTTTATTCTGTTGTGCAGAGGGTTCCTATTAGTCAGACTCAATAGCACCTAACAACAACAAATGTAGGTAGGCCTATAAAAGGACCTCTGGGAGCGTAGTTGTTAAGCACTCAGCTGCTAATAGAAAGGTTGCTGGTTTAAGCTTGCCAGACACTCTTCAAAAAAAAGATGTGGTAATGTGTTTCCCTAAAGATTTAAAGCCCTGTGTGCCAGTTCCATCCTACAGCCACTAAGAGTTAGAATCAACTAAATGGCAATGGGTTTATGTAAGCCAATCAAAAAGTTTTGGATATCTTTTGTTCTTCCACCAAAAATAACCAAACTTATTTACTCAGTTAAAATTTGAAACTGGCCTCCAAAGCAATAACAGAATGTACTGGATGGTTAAGAAGTACTTTCTTAGAGAATAGATATTGAAGTAAAGCTTTCCCTTAATGCATACTTCTCAAGATGGTAAAAGCGTTCCATTTTACATCTTATGCAATCTTGTTTTATCCATATTGTCATTGGCAAGAGCAGTCAGCAACTGTATACCAAACACATATGCAATAGTTTGCCAACATTTAATTTTTGATGGATATAATCACTGATTCCAATAATCTCGAAGGCTCACTAATTAAAAATAGAATCTTTCGTATCTGGTGTTATATTAGCATCCTTTTTATATTTTGTATTGGACTATACAGCAAGTCCTTGGTTACTATTTGCCTAAGTGTACCAAAATACCCTCTCTAGGGAAAGGTAAATGCTATTTTTTTTTTTCCCTTAAAATACAGTCACTCTCATTCTACCTGTCCTTAAAAAAAAGAAAGAAAATCGTGGCCACTTCAGCAAGGTATTTAATTAAACACAGTAAGGGTCAATAGACTTCTGAAAGGAACATTTGTCTAAGCTAATTGATCAGATGTGCCTTTGATACACCCAGAATATCCTAAAGAAAATCATGGTTTGGTTAATAGGGAAGGTTGGCGACAAAAGGGGATTTCAGGGCACGTACATTTCTGTGATGGTCTCTGGCAGATTCGTGGGGATCTCGATGAGACCTTTCCCACGACAGTCTACAATATTGTTGCTGCAGGTGCAAGCAGCTGGGCAGTGCAGAACGCTGCAAGACGGAGCCATGAAGGACTGGTGCCCTGAAAAGGAAACATACGGCAATGAAATTTTCTGCCTTGAGCTTCCTAATTGTGAAACATGCTTACTCAGTTCACACAACAAAGAATGCTACTGAGAGACACTGAGAAATCTAAAGCCCTAGTCATAAAGTGGGCCCATATTTCTAGAATCTTTAGGAAACATACTTCTATATTTGGAAGTCAACAAGCCGATAAAGCAAAGGAGATTTTTACAAACCAGTTTTAAAGAGAGGGAACTATTTGTGAGAAAGGTCAAATTCAGATTCAACAGTCAAATGCTATTCAAAACTCTTCTGAGTTACAGACTTTTTCCCCACAAAAGCAGCAGTTTCAGGCTCATTTGTATGTCACGTCTAATAAGCTTAAGTAGATCTTGGAATTCACTGAACTTGTAGGGCTTAATTTACTTTGTCTTAAACAAAGAATAGAAAACGGTGAAATTCTGTAATGGTTCACATAACTGCTGCTCTAATGAAGTAATCATGCACCAATAAATGTGGGAGAAAATTAGATCATACTAAGCTTGATGGCTGGATAGGCTCAAAATTATTGCTTTCTTTGAACTTATTATTATAATTTGTATCATGTCATGCTGTAATTGTTAATCTATATGATTCTGTTTGGGCTCAGCATAATTAAAAAACTTAGCATAAGTAATTACCTCCGCGTAGTATACACTGTTCAGTATTTGGGAAACATACTTTGAAATCAGTGTTTTCTGTCTGAACGAGGCACAACAGAGTTATCAGTGCTGTGCCAAACAAGTGGCAGCAGATACATGGTTATTAAAAGGGGCCAGGGAAACCCCTCATTCACGGATGGAGAAACGACAACTGCAGTGTGAACACGCTGGGTGGAGGTTACAACAAAGCAGCCCTCGTGGTACAAGGGTTATGTTCACATATTTACTGAAAGGTTGGTGGTTCAAGCCCACCTACTGGCTCCATGAAACAAAGGCCACTGGTTCTGCTTTTATAAAAGATTACAACCAAGGTAATCCTTTGGGGAAATCCACAACAGTTACGAACTCAACCCCTCTAAACAGACTGAAACTTTACAAAAATAGTCTTAGTCTAAAAAAGAAATGTGAACTTGCCTTCTTCCTCATCTAGAAAACAGGAAGGAAAACGTAAAGAGAGAAAAAAAGTGGTTAATAAAGAATTGTTAGTCATCTCATTTTTAATTCAATTTACTTTATTTAATTATTTTAATATTTTAACTTAATTTAATGCAATCAGACCCGATGAGAACATTCCATGACACTGTAAGAAAAAAATTGTTTGTGCTACAAAGTATGGAAAAATACATAAAATGCTCTAAAAATTAACACAACAAGAAATAGAATTCTATATTAATAATAACTTACTATACTCATCCTTTTAAAAAAAAAACCTATTATGCATATATAATGTATTTTATATTTTTTAAAAGGTTTGTCTTATTTGATTTGAAACAGGTACTTTAAAATCAGATAAGCCTGGTATTCACAAGATAAATTCTATATTAATACTGATAAGCATAATATCAATATATAATATATGATTTGAAGTCCTAGTATAGTGCTGTAGGATAAACACTGGACTTCTAAATGCAAGGTTGGCAGTTCAAATTCACCAGTTACGCCGTGGGAACCCCATATAGGATCACTGTGGGTTGGAATCAACTCACTGACACTTAACAACAAAAATATATGAATTTAACATATATGTATATTTGTGAATTGTTGTTAAGTGCCATGGAGTTAGTTCTGACTCATAGCGATCCTGTATAGGGTTTCGGAGTTGTGGCTGGTGAATTTGAACCACCAACCTTGTGCTTCAAACCAAACTTGTGGTACAGTGCTTATCCCACAGCACCACACCAGGACTCCTACATATGGATGGCTACATGTGAATATAAAATGATGGGAAAAGTAGAAATGTGGTAGTTAGTGGTTGTGTACCACTGAGATATTTCCAACTCATACTGACCCTGTAGAGGGTTTCCAAGGCGATGCCTCTTTACGGGAGTTGGAAGTCTCTCTTTCCCATGGAGTGACGGACAGATTCAAGCTACTGACCTTGTGGTTAGCTTGCTCTACTTTTCCCGTCATTTTATATTTCTAATACATTGTGACGAGGGGTGAACAATGAGGTAAATAAATGTGAAATATGGCTGTATGTAGAAAGCACTCAATAAACTTCAGTCGTAACTATTCTATATAGACCACGTCTCTTATGTTTTTTCAGATGTTTGTTAGTAAAGAGAGCCACTTTTGTATTTTAAGTAGAACATAACTATTTGTACGTTGTTTGCATTAAAAAAAAAAAAAAAAAGAATTCTGGCATTTTGCAACTATGCTTGAATTACTTTTTTTCTGGATTTTACATCCGGGATCCAAGAATACATACTCAACTTTCAGTTGGTAATGGAAAAGTAGATTTAAGTTATTACTTCCGGGCAAAAATAACCTTAACTTTAGAAGTTCCCTATGGATCCCCTAAATTAAAAATTGACCACCATAACTTTGATAGAAGTCACCATAAAGTTCCCACCATATATAAAGGTCTTGCTGGTGGCTAATGGTTATGTGCTGTGGAGTCAGCTCTGACTTGTAGTGACCCCGTCCGTATCATTTTCTTCCCAGGAGTAGAAAGCCTCATCTTTCTCCCTTGGAGCAGTTGGTAGATTTGAACTGCTGACCTTGTGGTTAGCAGTTCCACTACACTACCAGGGCTCCTATAAATGTCTTAGAGCTTACTGTTACAAAAGGATATTCCCACAGAGTAATTAATGCGCAATTGCACGTGTTAGTGAGCAGTGTAGCATGCACGTGAAGCATGCAGTCTCTAAACTTCTATTCCAGACCAGCATACAGTAAAGACAGCGGCAGAATGGTGCCTCTCTCTTACCACTGCAGACAAACTCGCGTTTCTGAACCTCAGCTACATTATGGCCCCTCAGGTGGGATGGGCCCATACACTGGGTGTAGAGGCCAACACGAGGTCTCTGTCGCAGCCAGTCAGAGAGCCAGGCCATATGGCAGTCACAATACAAGTTGTTGGAATGGAGACGACTAGAGAAGAGGGAAGAAGTTTAAAGAAACAAAAGAGATAACAGTTACTTCAAACATTGCTTAAGAAGTCATTCAAAACTAGCTTTATTTATCAGCGCATATGTGGATAAAATTTAGAAACAGACAATCTAGTAAGTTAGCTTTATTTATCAGCATATATGTGGATAAAGTCTAGAAATGTACAATCTAAGAAAGCTAGCTTTATCAGCATGTATGTGGATAGAGTTTAGAAACGTACAATCTAATAAGGCTAGCTTTATTTATCAGCCTAAAAGTGGACAAAATTTAGAAACTTACAATCATTATCTATAAGTCTTCTTAAAAAAATTAACCTGTTTGGGAACCACAAAATCAAACGTCTTTTCATTGATTTTGAATGAAACAAATAAGGAATCATAGACTTCTTTTGCCTATGCACATTCAACAGAAAACAACTGAAACCTTCTGAAGACAAAGGTGAGGGGTGGGTTGGGCAGGGTGGAAATGGGGGTATGAAAAGGAGAGAGCAAGTTAATAAAAATGTGGCCCTGGCTTTGAAATATCAGTTAAGCTTGGCCACTATAGTCTCTAGAGAAACTGCTTGCAGTAATTTTTTAACAGGTGACTTGCATTTTTTACTAAACAAGACGGAATTAACACTTCAATACAAAATACTTCTTTTACCTCCCTAGTTTGATTTCCTTATTTATTTTTTTAATCACTAAAAAGGGAATTAAGCTGCTTTTGGTTTTTGAGGACCTAGATTCAAAGAGCAAGGACTAAAATTAAAAGACAAATGGTGGGCAGTGAAGGGATTAAGCAAGAGTCCCCTCTATATTAGCCAAGAGCCACACAAGATCATGGCTTGCTTCCAAGTGGCAAATGGCACTTTTCCATTCATAGCATATCGGACAAATCTATCCAGTAAATTAGGGAAATTACTTCAAAGTGGCTTTTCTGTTTTCTCAAACCAGAGGAAAGGACACCCAAAGCTATAAATCAAAGCGTCATTCCCAGAATCATCTACAACAAAGTAATATCATTTTAGTCTTTTTAGCTGATGAGTTCAATTCTAACCCAATAAAAGTAATGGATATTAAAACATGGAACTCAGTCCAGAAATATAACTGGAGCATAAAAATGGAATTTCTAAGTAGCAATGATAAGACGGAATAATGAACCCACCAAAGCAAAGGCATTTAAAACTAGATGGCTGCTTTATGCTATTCTAGAGCCTGCTGTAGACACTGGGTTGTCTGACACTGAAATTATAAGGAATACCACCAAATTATGAATGTATAGTCAGAAAAAGCTGGGAAATCTCCAACTCAGCAGACTTAGCCCTTTCATGACAAGTTATGTTTAGGTCCTCTGGGGTATGTTGTTGTTGTCAAGTGTCATCAAGTTGGTTCCGACTCGTAGTGACCCTGTATAGGGTGGGTTTCTAAGGTGCAGTTGGTGGGTTTGAACTGCCAACCTCGTGGTTAGCAGTCCAGTGCTGATCCTACAGCGTCACACCAGGATTCTTCTGGGGGTATACTGTTTTGCTTTTGTGCTGGCAATGGGCAGGGACTTGTATAACTGCGTGCGATGGAAGGAAGTATGCTGACGCCATATTTCTGTGGTGAGAAGTGATCTGTGTATCTGTACTGGATGGTACAGCCACAGCTGAGATTTTGTCAAATTTTTGTCTTTGGGGGGTTCTTTAAATAGCAAAACAAGGCTTTTTGGTGTATTTACTGTTTCCTTTGTGTTGTGGAAAGCTCAACTTTTCAGCATTAGGTAACATTCAGGCTGCAGAGGTTCTTTCCAAGCAAAAGACGAGGTAAGCACTGTATGTCCATGGGTACAGGTAAGTACCACTTACATTTTTCACCACATGGATTCTGAACAATTATCAGTGTAGCGAGTTCAGGATGCCTGGATGGGATACTCCATGCTTTCAAAGGTTTCATTCAATTAACAATAAAAAATGATTTTACAAATTGTTATTTTCCCTGCCTCATTCCACCTAGCCAACCTCCAGAGTATATTGGTATATACACGCACCACATGATATTTATGAAAGTTAATCCTAACTAGTAAAAGATGACCAACACTCAATGATTCAGCATAAGTTTCATCAGTACAAAACCATGACATCACCCAAAAAAATGGCAAAGATAAAAAACCATTCAGTCATGAAAGAGTGAGCAGTCATAGTGTCCTCTGCAGGCCACAGTAGTATACTGAACATGTTGCATTATTGCTAAGTACTGTCAAGTTGGTTCCGGCCCTCTATCAGGTTTCTGAGGAGTGGATGGTGAGTTTGAACCACAGATCTTGTAGCTCAAACCGACCTTGAGGTCCAATGCTTATCCTACAACACCACACCAGGACTCCACATGTTGCAAGCTGCATCGATGGTCTCTAAATGTGTCCGAAACACTGCCCGCATTTCATTCTGTTGTATATAGGATTGCTATGAGTTGGTACCAATCCAATGGCACCTAACAACAGCAACAACAACAACAACAAATATTTCCATCTCAAACCGTGCACAATGTTGTTGTTGTTGTGACCCTGTATACGATTTCTTAGTACTGGCTAGTGAGTTCAAACTGCTGACCTTTGCTTATCCTACAGCACCATTACACAGACTCAAACACATGTATACACATTTGAAATTAGAAAAGCACTTAATTAAAAAACCTAGTAGATAAACTCTGGTGGGTTCCTACAAGAAAATAACAGACATGGAAAACGCAGAGTTGGAATATTTTTACAGTCTCAGTTGCTTTATTTTTATAAGGATTGGAAACTTGACCAATTTGTTTTAAAAAAAATAGCTAAAGTTAATAATGATGGGGTCCTTGTGTGGTACTGCGGGATAAGCACTGGACTGCTAATGACAAGGTTGGTGGTTCAAATCCATCAGCCACTCTTTAGAAACCCTGTACAGGGTCACTAAGTGTCGGGACTGATTTGATAGCGCTTAAAAACAACACCAACAATAAAGTTAATACGAATAATTTGGTTCAATATAGTTAGCTCAAGAAAATAAAACTGCTATATCTGAGTAATTTTAGAATTATTTCAACTGACTAAACCATAGTCTACAGAAATTATAACAGTGTGTTGCAGTGTACAAAATTAATTTTAATGAGAAAAATATGATTCGTATTATCTAATTCATAAAAAAATGAATTATTCAAATGTGTATTCAAGAAAGAACATAAATGTAGTATTTTTCTAGTTATGTCATAAAAAAAATCAGAAATATCTTGAAAATCCAATCAAAATATATTTACTCTATTTTAAAACTTAATTATTTCTAGAAAGTCTGATGGTTTGCCTATGCTTCTAACCATTTCTTATATGAAATAAATTTTTAAGGTCAATGTGATTCTAAGGTCAGTTCAAATGAAATTTACCTTTGAAAAGACCTATAACGAAATACTGCACCTGGGTTTTAAGAAATTAATTTTATTCCAAGAGGAAAAAATAGCTGTAACTAGTACTTTATTAGAAAACGATTTCTATTTATCTAAGACATTTTAATGTCTATTGGTCTCCCCTGAAAAGATATTTTGAAAACTAAATATTGACACATTCTTAATTATGGAAGCACTAGAAGGTGATGCTGTAATTTTATGACACAAAGAATGTTGGCAAACCAGTTTAAGCTTTATTAGGTCTGCCTGCAGTACAGTAATAAAACCATAAAGATTTCTCATTTATCACTTATGACACCCAATCTAGAAGTCTTCCATTTCTTAATGAAATGTGACCTCAACAATTCCTCAAAGTAAACATTTCTTCCTTAAATTCCCCATAATGCATAACATTTAAAAGAAAGCTTTCAAGTTTAGAGTAGGTTTGATTTACTCAAATATCATATACAGTATTTTTAAAAAGGCTGACTTCCTTGCGAAATTCATCATAAACAAGCAGACCTCTGATTTGGTTACTAAAAAAATACTACTTCGTAGGTATTCTTAATTGATTATATTGACATTTTCATATATTGTAAGTACTTACAAAGTCCGAAGTTTAGGCATATGGTTGAAACTTGCCACAGAGAGCCTAGTAATGTTATTATTGTTGAGAGTGCTGTAGAACAACAACAACAAAAATTCAGATATGAAAATTTGATCATTATACATACTATAACATAGAGCAAACGTTTTGTCATTAAACACATATGGGACAATTCAGACAACATAGAGAATATACTATTCTATAGATAATTTGATAATTCAGTTTCATACTTTAACATGTTATTCATTTATTGACTATTCATAGCTTTACCTTTGACTTCATGTTGACTTCATGTATATTGTATACGGGGATCTATTAATGATATTGAGGAAGCCTGGTAGCATCGTGGATTATAAGTAGGGCTGCTAACTGCAAGATCAGCAGTTCTAATCTACCAGCTGCTCTGTGGGAGATAGATGAGGTTTTTTGCTCCCATAAACATTTACAGTTTTGTAAATCCCATAAACATTTACAAACCCTACACAGGGTTGCTAAGAGCTGAAACCGACTCCACGGCACATAGCCACCAACACTATTCACGCTAGGATGTCATAGCTGGACAACTGAGCAATTACATTTCATTACAAAGTAGATTATCTGTATTAAAGATGCCCTGCCTAGTGCAAATATGAATGCGCTCTGCTGGAAACCACAAGGTTGGAGGTTTGAGGTCACTCAGAGGTGCCTTGGAAGAAAGTCATGGCAATCTTCTGAAGAATCAGCCAGTAAACCCTATGGAGCATAGTTCTACTTTGAGACACACTGTGTTGCCATGAGGCGAGTCAAGGTCAGTAACTGGTGATGGGGTGACCTTAGTCCAATCCATTCGTGTTCATGAGGAAATGAGCACATTTGAATTATCCCCATAAAATCTCACTGAAACAGCACAGTTTCAGTTCTGTCAGGACACGGCACAGAATTGTGCTAAATGTTCCTTAGGGTGGCCATCAGGGCCTAACAAAATCTGAGTAGTAAGAACTATGCTAATATTTGGTTCTTACACTGGGCGGGGATGAAGTGACTCTTATAGGCTCAATCAAGTCTAATAGTTTTAGGGTGTGGTACAAAGCCTGTCTTTTCTTTGGTGCTGGGTGATCTGGGTGATGACTGCTTAAGCTAATGCTGGAAAGATGGGTGTGGTCAAGGGAGCTGCAGTAAAAATAAGTATAATCCTTGAAGGCAGTTCAAACTCAGCAGCCGCTCCACAGGAGAAAAATAAGACTATCTTCTCCTGTACAGACTTCCAGGCTTGGAAACCGTATACAGTGTCCCTGTGAGTTGGAACTGACTCGATGATAGCGGCTTTGGTTTGGTTTTTGCTTGATTCAAAAGTTCACCTAAGTTCTGTTTTCTACTTTCCCTTCCACAGCATTGTAAGTAGTTGAATAACTGCCATCATTGTCATTCACGCCTTCATCAAATAGTTCCTGATTGGATATTGCTTTTATGGCAACTCAGAGTATTATAAAAATTCACCAGACAGACCTACATCATGTCCTCAAATAGAATACTGTCTATCCTGCAAGATGAATCATACAAATTGCAAACACTTAGAATGAAGATGATTTAGAAGAGAGATGTTTTTTTCCTCTTCTGAGGATTCTGAGAGAACAATGTGAGAAGACAGTTGTCTCAGGGCATGTTAAGAGAAAAGTGAAGAGATGGAAAATTATTCCAGGATGGAGAAGAAACTGATGACACAAGGGGGTAATAACTGGATAGTTTGAATTGCTGAAGGAGGCAAAAAAGTGCTCAATGCCTGCAGTGGATGAAGATATATAGTAGAGAGAAGGTTTGAATTAGGGTTTGCACGCACATTTGCCTACAGACACCAAGGACTCTGAGTGTGGCACTGTAGGATCAGTATTGGACTGCAAACCACAAGGCTGGCAGTTCAAATCCACCAATTGCGCCTCAGAAACCCTGTAAGGGTTACTGTGAGTCAGAACTGACTTGACGGCATTTAGTAACAGAGACCCCATTGGTTCATTGGGTTACACACTGGGTTGCTAATCAAAAGGGTGGTGGTTCAGATCTACCATACTCTCTGCAGGAGAAAGATGTGGCCTTTGTCAGCTTCCATAGGATTTACAGCCTCTGAAACCCCACAGAGCACTTCTATCCTGCCATATGAGAAACTATGAGTCAGAATTAACATAATGGTAGTGGGAATAAACAAAACAGGGACAGCAAGCAGGGATCACAAATGAGAGAAGCAGGCCATGTGGAAAGAAACACAATGGATTTTAGACAGTGGACGGGACCGAGGACTGAGGCACACTACAGAAGTCATTGTCTGTTGTAGCAGCTAATATTCAGTTCCAATGGGTTATTGCAGTGATGTATTACAAGTCTGGATATATAAAATACATTTACAAGGCTGTTTCAGATCAGCATGTGCAAACAGTTATCAGTTGGGGGGATATAGGGTGTTTGGGGTTGAGGCAATGACTTGGACATCTTAATAATGCAGGACAATTCAACTACAGACCTAGCTTGACTTTTGCAAGGTATCGAATGATGTAAGAACTAATCCAAGAGATTTCAACTAAGTCACATGGGGGGCATTTATGGAGCACCCATAATGTACTGAATTGGCTGGCTTATGTTATTTAAAAGCTTCTACCATTTTCTGGGCTAAAGGGAAAACAACATTTTTTTTTTCTTTTTCAAACCACACTAAAATATATCCTGATGTCTAAACTAACAGGTTTTACTTCTCAAAGGAATTTGCTTTCAAATGACCTCTTTTCTCACTCTCAGAATTTATGTTGGCTTCAGATGACCAAAATCTTCAGACTACATGGCATACTAAAATGAGATTTGGGGGATAAAAATGTTTTAAAATGTAATTTGCATTCAGGACACATGTTGATTTTAAACTATAGAGTCTTGTACTTTCATGCAAAGGAGGATTTTCAATGAATACTACTCATTCTGAAGCCCACAGATCTTACTCTAAAGACTTTTCTCAAAATGTTAATTCACATGAATCAATTGAAAAAATATGTTTAGTATTTTTATTCAGTATTAGTGCTGTTGGATAAGCAATGCACGACTAGGTCAATTTGAACCTCAAGGCAGTGGTTCAAACCACAAGCTTTTCCTTGGAAACCCTATCCAGGGTTGTTATGAGTGAGAACCAACCCGAAGGCACTTAACTGCAACAGCATTGATACTGGCAGACCTGATGGCGCAAATGGTTAAGCACTCAGCTGCTGGCCTCAGGGTTGGTGGTTTGAACCCACCAACTACTCTTCTGGACAAAGATTTGTTTCTGTACAAGATTTATAGTCTTGGAAACCCTATGGATCAATTCCACACTGTCCTAGGGTTGCTGTGAGTCAGAATGAACTTTTCAGCAAAAGATTTAGTTTTGCTTTATTGATACTGGCAAAGCAATATCAACGCTTACACTAGCGGACTGAACAGTGTGTTCAAGCATTGAAACTGACATCCTAAAATGACTATTAAATAGAGTGTTAAATGAGTTACAATCACATGCATGTGGTACGGCCATGATCCATTTCTATTCTAAAGTAATGTGCACACATTGTACCATTTTCTTTGTGAATCCTTCTCTAATGTCTATTTCTAGACATTAGAGTCAAGTCTATTTCTATGTTGAACCTCAAGATTTTCTCTTTGTAGCAAGACTTTATAATTGAACTCTGCTGCACTTGTGTAATCTTGTACAAAAGACAAGCATGCTGGTAGTGTAGTAGGTAACATGTTGGGCTGCTTAGCACAAGGTTAGCAGTTTAAATCCACGAGTCACTGCACAGAAGAAAGATGAGGCTTTCTGATTCAGTAAAGACTGTTGTTGTTGTTAAGTACTGTTGAGTCAGTTCTGACCCATAACGACCCAGTATAGGGTTGCCGAGGAGCAGCTGGTAGGCTTGAACTGCCGACCTTGCAGTTCAAGTGGCTTTGCAGTCTGGCGCATTAACCTACAGCGCAGTCTTGGAAAGCCTATACCGGGTTGCTATGAGTCGGAACGGACTGGAAGACAGATGTAACAGCAATCAGCACCATCAGTACAAAGGACTCCATGGTTTGTAAATCAGAAATGTTACCCTTGATGCCTCTCTAGGACTAAAATCCAGACCTAGTCTTTTTTATTCCCTTAGTACCAAGACTAAGACTTGGCAGAGACTGTGATATTTAATAGATAGGAATCACTATGTTTCAATTCAATTCAATTCAATTATGTGTATTCTGTAGCGAAGGAAAAAAACAAAACAAATAAGCTATACAAAAGTAGTCACTGAGGGATAGATTTCACTTTTTGAATCTAGGATCCAAAGAAAATGGAAACATTTATCTATATTTAGTTGCCTGATAGTGCTATTTCTGAAATGTGATCTTCATATTAAGAAAATAAATGGGTTCATTTTATATCCTACCAACCAGAATTTCGCAGTAAGCCAGATCACTCTGAACGGGCAAGTCATAAACTTCTCTCTCACCAACATCCAGCTTGACTCTCCTTCTTAAATCTTATTTCACATTCTCTACCTCCTGGTATGGTGCTGCAGAATAATGCACTGGACTGCAAGGTTGGTTTGAACTGCAACATTGGCAGTTCAAACTCACCAGCTGCACCTTGGAAGCCCTATACAGGGTCACTATGAGTTGGAACTCATTCAACGTCAATTAACAACAACCTCCAGTAGATATCCTAATCTAATACATTTTCAACGATGGCTTTGGAGGATATGTACAAGGGGGCTGCAAAAAGTCTGTGGAAAAATTCTCCCCTGCTTGATTAGGTCAGATTCATACATTCCCAAACATATCAGGGAATTAAAATTAAATTAAAATCTAAAACATCAAGAAACTGAAATTTACTATCATATTCAAGTTATTGATTCTTCAGTATTTCCACTTAAAAAGAAGATATATTCTAAAGAGTCATGGGCTACAACAATAAGAAAAACTAACAACCTCCTTTCTGGAACATTCCTGAGAGTAACTCTATAAACAAACACCCATTCATAATGGACCAAATTTGATTCTGGTGACAAAAACTTAAACAGTATTTCAGTGTTATGCTAATTTACTGGTTTTTTCATCAGTTAATTTCTCTGAGGGTTGTTTAAAGTATGCAGATTTGAAAATAACAAGTAACATAATATGAAAATAATGTTTGCTTAGCTTTTTGGCATTTTAATATAAAAGATTAAATTCCCTTTTAACGAAATTGATTTTTTTGTATCACATATTAATTTTTACTATTTTCTTTAGCAAACAGGACCCAACAACACTTTCACACCTTTTTGAGAGAAATATATTAACATATTCAATAAAAATTTCTAACATTTTAGAATTTTATTTTAGTTTAGTTTCATGTGAGCTAAAGAATTGATCACTTTTTGGTATGTTTCATAACAGTGGCTCTTGATGAGTCCCACCTTTTTAGATATTTGCTCACATGGCAAATAAAATGTATGACGTTATCGTGTTTTTGCAAATTTACTTCTAAATCAATGATATCAATTTAAATCAAATGAGAAAATACATAGCTTTAGTATCTGTAGATAAAGGGTTGATTGTGCGCCTAACACAATGCCTGGTACATGGTGGTTGACAGTTATGTGCCATAGAGTCGGTCCCAATTCATGGAGACCTTGTATAGGGTTTCCGAGGCTGTAAATCTTTTTTTTTTTTTTTTAACTACATAAAAAGAATGATGAAGCTGAGTTTATTGTAGGACTGCAGAGCTAAAGCATTGGCTCACAAGGGCAGTTTGAACCACAAGGTTGGCTATTCAAACTTTATCAGATGCTCCTTGGAAACCCTATACAGTGTCAAGGTGAGTCAAAACCTATTAGATGACACTAAACATCAACAACAACAAGGCTAGCTTAGCATTTCAAAAGGCTGTAAATATTTAAAGAAATGAACAGTCTCATCTTTCTCCCATGGAGCACTGGTACATTCCAACTGCTAACATAAAACCAACTCATAACCCCCTAAGTTAACAGGGCTCTCCTTTGCTGTTAAGTGCCTTCAACTCATTTCTGACTTACAGAATCCAGGTATAGGGTTTCAAAGGAGTGGTTGGTGGGCTTAAAATACCAACCTTGTGGTCAACAGTCCAAGGCTAATTCTAGAGTGCTACATCAGGACTCCTGTGATGGTGGTGGTGGTGTGCTGTGGAGTTGGTTCCATCTCATAGCGACCCCTTATAGGGTTTCTGAGGCTGTAAATCTTTACAGGAACAGAAAGGCGCATCTTTTTCCTACGGAATGGCCAGCAGTTTCGAACTGCTGACCTTTAGATTAAGCAGCCCAACTAGTAACTACTACACTTCCAGAGCTCCTAGCAGGTATTAAATGTATATACAAGGGGGCTGCAAAAATTTGTGGGAAAATTCCACTATCTTTTCATTCCATTTTTTCATGAACCTTTTGAAGCCCCCTTGTATATGGAATAAATGGAATGATTCTATATCTAATATGTAACTAAACTCGTACTTATTTGATAAGGTATTTTTAAGGGATTGAATTCATCCAAAATATCTAGAAAAACTTTCATAAAAACGTTTCATATGATTCCTGTATCAAGTTAGGAGCACTGACTCAGAAACAGAATTTTTTTGGGGCACCTTCAATTCTGTTCAGTCAAAGAATTCTTGTGGGTAGTCTCCTCATATACAAATTTTATTGACACTACATTTTTGACATCAGATTACTACATGAAATCACACTTGTATCTAAATTATCCTGACATGGAAATAGCTTCAAGTGAGTTTCCTACTTTCAAAATGGCTCTGGAACACAGTTTACAAAGTGACTTTGTAGCTAAAATTGTATGATAAGCACTTTGAATGTTTTCCCCATAGAAAAGGTTATACTGCTATCAACAAAAACAATCGTCTCATGCTTATACATACATCTTTATGACTAACTCCTAATTCAACACTTTATAAAGCTAGTAATTCTACTCAATTACTCTTAGTTAAGGGCGGAATCACCTGAGAAACATCGCTAAAATAAGTCATTCTCATTGAAACACTAACATTTTTCAAAATCATTCTGCTCCTCAAACTCAACTTATAAAACAAAGGACTTAAACTTTAAAACCTCTTTGCATTTTACCCAATTTTGGATTTATGACTAACTTTCTCATGAAAACAATTACTTAAAACATACAAAAGATTTTACTGCTAGGTAAAAACGTGTACATATATAAAATTAGTTAGAAATATGAATATTTGACTGAAAAATATTTCAGAAATATAAAGACAACCTTCAAATTCTTTTGTAAACGATTTATTTTTCATTACAATTATTTTGCAAGTCAAAGGTCAGGAAGTGATCTTAGCTAGTTGTAACCAATTTTGTCAGCCAGAAAAGAAAAAGGAAGTGAATTCCAACTCACATTTGTTTGTATGTTATGCACTATCAGGTCAATTGTGACAATTTAAAACGGAACAGGTTTGCTTCTTAAAATTAGAAAGCAGATTTCTAAATAACCTTACTACAGCAATGCTAAGTTATCTTGTTCAAGGTGACTTCTTTCAAAATGAAAAGACATTTTTCCACTGCATAACAACTTCTAAATATTCGAACAGACCAGTTCCTGAATAGTGGACAATTCTATTACACAATGTCATAAGGTGTATGTTTTGTTGTTATTGTCCCTGTGAAACTGAGTTTAGTTTCATATTAACAATTCTGAGAATTCCCACAAATTTTTAAATCTTATTATTTTGTTAGAAGGAGAAGCACAGGATAATCTGTACGGCCATCTGAATGTTTTTCATGAAAAGACAATTTCTCTTACGCATGGAGACACAGTCTACATGGTTTTGCACACATATTCCTGACTCTTCCTTTTATTTATCACATGAATTATTTAAAGGATCTCTTTAAGAGATCCTATTGACACAGGATTTTTAGCTAGCAGATAAGCTTCACATTAGCACTGCTCAGACAAACAGCTCCAGTTAAAAGAGTAAAAGATAGAAGCATTACTTACAGTACTTCCAAGTCCCGGAGAGCCCTGAAAGCCCCATCTTCAATACAGCTGATCTGGTTGTAATCCAGTTGCCTGTTAAATAGATTAGAAGGAGATATGTAAAGGGGATGAGGATGAGCAGGGGAAGGGGACAGGAAGTCTCCAGAAGGATCCCTAAAGTCCTGGCTCTCTGGAATACACTCATCTGCTGAAGAATGTCACAAGCCATCCTGGCCTTCCCGCTGCACTGAAATCTCTTTTTGTTCTGAACTGTCTGTGCACACAGCAACCCTTGGAAAGCTTCAGTAAATAATAACTGCACCTTATATTAAATGCCATAGGAATGCAATTTCATTACATCAAGAAAAGCTATCCATTAAGAGCTTTCAGCGTCATCTTGCTGAAACAATTTCATTAAGGTAAAGCACTGTAAATCACTTAATGTCACAAGCACCCCCTCAGTGACCTAACAGAATCCATTTATCAGAGAAGCTCAGCTGCATGTTAATTTCACTATTCTTGGCAAGAGCCAGGAAGACTACTTTTAGGTTTTCTTCTTCTAAAAGCAGTTTTCCTTCGAGAACTTCAAATCAAGAAAGCAGCAGCAAGCCTGATATCTCTCCCTGCTATCCCCAACCAGGAGCACACTGTAGAAAGCCAGCAGTTTGTTTGTTATGAAGCTGTGCTATTTTCAAAATCTGAATTCATAACTTGTTAGTTACGGAACTTCCAGAATGATAGTCTAGATACCACTCTTCAGAAAGTTAAGTTCCTAAGTATTCAGAAATATGTAAAAAATGTGATGATTTTTTCTCTGAGATGTTCATTTCAGCCCAAACCCACTTTGAAATACAATACACAAGCATCATAAAAACACGAACATATATCTATGATAACAACTTGAAAAATGATGTCAGTTCATTCCAAACAATGCATAATTCAAACTAATGGAAGTTTCTCTAGTCATGTAGGTACTCATTTGTTAAAATTCAAAGACGAAAAAAAAAAAAAAAAACAAGACTCTCCAAACTGGTTAAATATGCTTTCTTTCTTGCTACTTATTTTTTGATATTAAAGTTTCCTTTTTTCATAATAAGGAAACTATTTGCATGAAATGAAGAACTAAACACAGAATCCTTTCTCTACCGTCCTCTTTTTATTTTTTTTTAACAAACAAGCAGTTGTTGTTTAAATCTTGATGCTTACAGACATTATAATTCCAGCAAAGAAAGTACTTTAATGCTTCACTTGAAATAGAAACAGAATGTTTCATGAGATACTAAGGTGAGTTGTCAGCTCTACAAGCATTGGTGAGGTAATGCAGATGCGGAGGCGTAAGACTGTATGAGAATAATACAAATGAACTTTGTCCTTGGATCAAGTTCTGAATTCATATTTGAGGCTTGCTCTTAAAGAACTGCTCAGACATTCCTATAAAATAGCTGTTTCCCTCACAAGGCTACGGAATCAACGTGCAATAATTTAATTCAGTCTCTTTCAAAGTGCCTCCTCAAATTTAGAAATTATGTACATAGAAAATGCCTCATGAAATATACATCTCATTTTTAAGAAGGTCTCTTGGGGACACAATCATACACAAGACTACCTTGATGTCATGCAAATGGTACCATCTAGGATATGAAATATATATATATAATATATATTAAAAAAATGTACCCCAGAGAAGAATACATTTTATTGCTTTTATAAACTAAGGCTTTACCCAAATACTATCCATGCTACTGTAATAGCCGAAAGCATTTCTACTTATTGGAAACTAATACAGAAGTAAAATTTCATTTTCTTTAAAGACTTTTCAAGTCTCAGGATGTAAGAGAAATGCAACGGCTCCAAGGAAACACATTCTTGCACTCTTTTGGAGCTTTACAGATTAAATTCATTTAACAATTAAGCTAATAGCCTTTTTATTTTAAAGTGCTCCATATATAACCACACTACTATTCTCTAACCTCTTGAACAATTTATCAAAACCATTTAAATTAGTACAATGGCACGCGGTGTTGCCCTTGACACAATACGGAAGAGAAATTGTTTCCAGACAAATTGGCAAAATCTTTTAATGCTATCAAATTTGCCTAATGCAGTTTTCAGGTTAATCTGTAAAAGGGTGAGCTGTATGTTTGCCCATATCTTATTATCCTTAGCTGTCAATGTATAAATCAGTGCTGACACAGCTTCTTCTAAATCATCCATACTCTACACAAAAGGGAGGGGGGACTAGTAGCTCTAGTCAGAAAGCACTCAAACAAATCTCATTCTACAGGAAAAGAAAGACCCATGACTCCTGATTCCAGCAGAAGTCCAGAAGTCACTGAAAACTGCCAATTTCACCTCTCTTTTAACATTGCTCATGTTGACTTGCTTTAGCAATTCTCATTGGAAATCGATGTCTTTTTGGTGCTGAAACAGTAAGCATATCTGTTTTATCCAGGGCTGAAGTTTTTCTGAAGAGTATTCTGAATTCCACAATAGCTCAGTTCATCTGTTTTCTAAGACTGAGGGTATTTTGTAAGAAAGATACTCACCTTACAAGACAATCAAAAAAAAAAATCAAACAAGTGGCTAGATTTTGTACCCATTTTTGAATTTTGTTATATTCACCAGCGTGTGTATGGGAAGTGTTCTGCCTGCATGAATGTTCAGGAGAAAATCCCTCCTAACAAGCACCCATTTGTCTGCACAGGGTTCAAGATAAACACTGTCAAAAATATGCAAACGTGTAATTTATTTCAGGGTTTCTGGATTATTTTGCTGCACCTTGTTTCTCTCACCCTGCTCACTTCCTTTCCCACTACCTTTCAGGCCCTTGGCACTTTTTCTTTCTGTAAACAGGAAAGGTCCAACTCTCAGCCAGCATTTATTGCTGGAGGGCCTGACCGCCTCTGGATGTAGTCTCCCATGGTGTCATAAACTGAGTCTGATTTAAAGAATGAGAGGGGGGTTGGGGGGGAGCTCTTCTCATCCTCTCATCCCATTATCCACAAATACTTTAACAACGAATTACCTGCTCAATAGTTTTAAAGCTATGGAGATGACGGGCATTAGGTACAAGAGAGAGTTTGACACCGTTTCCTGGGGCAGGGGCTGTTCAGGAGAGATCAAGTTAGGAGTTTGTTTTCAGGAAAGAAGGAATGGCACAAGATCAGCGGTTTTCTTTCAAACCTTGCACTGTCTGCCTTAGCTCAGGCTTCCCTATCTTTTCCTCTTTTTAATTCCTGTCTCGAATTTGCCCTTCTACTTCTGTTCATCTAAACCATCATTTAATTTGTAAGTTTGTATTTTATATCACCCCACTGGATCTTAAACATGAAATTGAAGAGGTGCAAATAGATGATCTTCAGGTTCTCATACCACTAGCAAGACAGTCTTTTCAGTGGCAACAGTTCCTTTTCTGTTGTCATCAAATAACTAACTCAAGATCCCTTGTTTTAACTTCTCTTTGTTGTTGTTGTTAAGTGCCATCGAGTCTGTTCTGACCCATAGCGACCCTGTACAGGGTTTCTGAGGGTGTAAATCTTTACGGGAGTAGAAAGCCTCATCTTTCTCCCGTGAAGCAGCTGGTATATTCGAACCACTGACCTTAAGGTTCGCAGCCTGATTCGTAACCACTACGCTACCAATTAGCAGAGGTCTTCGACATCATAGTGTGTCAAAGGCTCCCATTCTTTATAAATGGAGCTATTTCTCTGTGCCAACACACATGCAATTTCTGAAACTGATTGGATTTTCTTGAACACTAAAAATAATTTAGCCTAGTTTCAGAATTTGATTTATTCTAGGTAAGAAAGGCAATATATAATGTTGCTAAATATAGGTTCCAAAATAGGCATATTAAATGACAAAATGGTTAAACATTTGCTTACTTGTCATTTTGGTTGGATAGTTGGGAGTCACTACATTCTGTTATTTTTATATTTTCTTCAAAGATTTCCTGGTTTCATTTTCTTAAAATCTAGATAATGTACTCTGTTTAAAATATACTTGCTTTCATGGACTAACTTTGGCTGCTTTTGTCCCTACACATAGAAAATGCACAATATCTAAATAATGAGATCTTATTACTAATTCATTAGTTTTGTTTGTTTATTTGTAGGAATTGGAACACCTATGGGAAGAGATGATGGAAAAGCTCAATATCATTAGTCAACACAAAGACAGGAGCAGAATGTGGAACAGACTATCCCCATTGCTCATATGCAAGTTCAGGCCAAGGAAGAAGAAAATTAGAAAAACTCCACAAGAGTCGAAAGTATGATCTTGCATATATCACAAGTGAATTTAGAGACCATCTCAAGAAAAGATTTGATGCATTAGACGCTAATGACCAAAGACCAGAGGACTTGTGGAATGACATCAAGAATATCAATCATATAAGAAGAAATCCAAAGGTCCTTAAAAAGACAGATAGGAAAGAAAGAAAAGATCAAAACAGATGTCAGAAGAGTCTGAAACTTGTTCTTAAATGTAGAGAAGCTAAAGCGATTGGAAGAAATGAGGAAATAAAAAAGCTGAACAGAAAATTTCAAAGGGGAGCATGAGAAAGAAAGCAAACTATTATAACAAAATACGCAAAGACTTGGTGTTAGAAAACCGAAACCATACTCAGAATTTCTCAAGCTGGAAGAATTGAAGAAAAACATTCAAGCCTCAATTTAAAATTTTGAATGACTCTAAGGACAAAATCTGGAGTCCTGGTGTGACACTGTAGGATAACTAATGGACCATTTGAAATGCAAGATCAGTGGTTCAAACACACCAGCCATTCTTCAGAAAACCCTATACAGAGTTGCTAAGAATCAGAACCAACTTGATGGCACATAACCATGAACATGGGCAAAATACTGAATGATGCAAAAACATCAAAAGAAGATGGAAGGAATACAAAGAGTCATTGTACCAAAAAGAATTGGTTGATGTTCATTTCAGGAGGTAGCGAACGGTCAAGAACCAATAATATCTAAGGAAGAAGCTGCACTGAAGGCACTGGTGAAAAAGAAAGCTCCAAGAATTGTCAGACAACATATTGAAATGTTTCAAGAATCTAATACAGCACTGGGAGTATGCATTAGTCT